AATCCTTGTAACAACCAACCTAAAGGAGCTACCAGATAGCGTAGTGGTTAGGAATCGGGCTGCGAAACGCAAGGTCAGCAGTTCGAAACTATCAGCAGTTCGAAACTATCAGCCGTTCCACGGGAGAAAGAGGCAGCGTTCTGCTCCCGTAAAGATTTACAACCTCAGAAACCCTGTACAGGGTCACTATGGGTCAGAACCGACTCCACGGCACACAGCCAGCCACCAAGGTAATTATCATTTCTATTTTACATTAGAGGAAAGGGCATGGAGTGATTCAGTGTCTTGGCCCAGGTAGACTAGCTAGAGTGTGGCAGAGCTGGTTATAGATCTACGGACCATGTATCCAGAGTTAGCACTCTCGAATGTGAAGCTGAATGCCCTCAAGAGAAAAAGAGTTATTTTTTTATCCCATGATACCAAAACATGAAAAATGACAAATGTTCTGTCACTGACGAAAAAAAAAAAAACAATGTTATAAAGTCTCCAGAAGATAATCTTTTGTCAATTATTGAATTATATCTAATTAATACTTGGAAAATTAAAAGTTGATCATGTGGATTGGATATTGTTGTGTCAAGAACAAATTATGACAAGCAACTTCATTTCTATTATCTTTATGGTTAATACAATTGAGAAATAAAAATATAACTTAAGTAGCTTGCATCTTGATTTCATCAACAGAGCTTGTTTTTTAAAGACAAAATAGTTGAAAACATCTTAAACATAAAATTTTAATAAAATCTTGATGATTTAGTATGAATGAATTCATAGTTACAATGCCTAAAAATTGCATAGATCAATATAAAGACATATGCAAATTAATATGTTTAGATTACAATTATCCATTCCCAAATGTAGGATGGGGAGAATCAAGTATGAATTTGCTTAAAAAAAAAAAGAAGCTAACAGTTTTATTTGACTAAAAATTTGATACCATTCAGCAAATATGTTACGGCACTGTTAAGATAAACAAGGTCACTGGTTCAAACCCACTCCTAAGTCACTCCTTAGAAACCCTTTGCAGGGTTGTCATATATCAGAATGAGCTGCAGGATAATGTACTGGATTGCAAGGCTGGTTTGAATTCTAAGGTCAGTGGTTCAAACCCACCAGCTGCTCCTCGGAAATCCTATATAGGGTCGCTATGTGTTGAATTCACTAGATGGCACTTAACAACCACCACAACAATAGGTAACATGAAACTTAAAAGAAACAAAACAATGCCATTTGTAGGGTTTCTCAGACTTTAAATCTGAAACAGACAGACTCATCTTTCTCTTGAGGATGAGCTAGTGCATTTGAAAAGACAGCCTTGCAGTTACCAGTTCAATACCTAACCCACAATACCAGCAGGGCTTCTTAGGTGATATGTAATAGAGGCAGTAATGGGAGGGCAACCTGAATGGTAGAAGTTTGAATGATTTAATCAATGAATACCAAAGAATAAAACAAAATCTACTGCTGTCAAGTCTATTTCAACTCATAGGGACCCTATAGGACAGAACAGAACTGTCCCATGGTTTCCAAGGCTGTCAGTTTTTAAGGAATCTGACCGACATATTTCTCTCAAGGAGCCACTGGTGAATTTGACCTTTTGGCTAGCAGCTAAGCACTAACCATGTGTCACCAGGAATCTATTATGAAGGAACAATAAAAATTTAATCTGTAGGACAAAGGTGTGCATAAGTGATCCAGACATACATATTGAGACTGTTAATATCTTTTTTGAGATACAGAGCAACATGATCTGATTCACATTTTAATAAGATCACTCTGTGTGCTACTCTGAAACAAGAGTGGAGCATAGTAAGGATGGAATCAGGAAGACCATATGGGTGGTATTATAACAATTCAGAAGACATTAAGGTTATTTAAATTAAGATAATTTGAAATGGTGAGATGCTCTATTTTACTGGTGTTGTCATTTTCTTTAAAGTTTCAAGCCAAAAACCTTTGACAAACATTATTATCTGTAGGATGTGAAACACCAAGGTGTTTGGCCTGAGCTATTTGATTCCTAATAAAATTTCAGATTAGAAAGGAACTTTAGAAATCTTCTAATCAAGCCTTTGATTCTATAAAGGAATCCTCTCTAAAATAATTTCCTCCTGCTTGGACATTTCAATGACAAGAAACTCACTACCTAATACGTTACTCATTTAATTTTAGAATAGCTCTGGTTTTAAGAACTTTTTTTCTCTGTCTACAGTGGACAAAACCAAATTCAATTTGATCATGTGGATTTTAACTTACAGCTTTAAGGGAGCAGAAAGCATCATCTTGTAGTAGGTTTGAACTGAGTACTTTATGGTTAGTAGTCCAGTGCTTATCTTATAGCACCACCAGTGTGTGAAGAATGGACAAGTGACTGGGAAAAGATGGAGAAAAAGTAAGAATAAAAGGGATAAACTGTCCTAATTTTCTTTATTGTGTTATGTCCAAAACATAGTGTAGTACATTATTGTAGTACATTGTTGTTGTTAATGCTGTTAAGTCGGTTCCAACTCATAGCGACCCTGTATAGGGTTTCCAAGGAGCAGATGGTGAATTTAGGTTCAAACTAGCCTTGTGGTCAAGCGCTTATCCTGCAGCACCACACTAGTGACAATGGTAATTATAAACAATGAAGAATACCATGACATTTTAGTTTACAGCTTCTTGGTTTTCCCAAATATTGGCTATGTTTAAGAGTAGATGTCCTTCAAATAAGAAGTGATATTCAAAGTATGTGCTCTACAGTGTGACCACCAACTAATCAGAATTGAAGGCAAAAAGCTGTATGTACACCAGATGAATACATATAAGTGTGCTTCAAACTACGCAAGAATCAAGCCATTACACTGCTTGATTTAAATAGTACTTATTTCTATTTTGTCTTTATTGTAATGAACAAGCCCTGTCTTTAGCTCCTGCTGTGCACTTTTGGAGGGTCTTCCATATGGTTGCTGCTAAGTATTTTGGCATTTTACCAACTGTTACAATTGGGTCAGTGGGGGGGATTGTGTAGGAGTAATAAAACAAGGGTGACTGCAGCAGGGAGGAGTAGATTACTATACACATAACAGCTTATTGCCTCTCATGCATTAGAGCACAGCTCTATACCATTCATTATAACAGTCAGCCAGGGCAAACTGCCTTTTTGCCACAGAGCTGACTCCAGGAAAAGGCAGAACTTGGGTACAGAGACCATCTCATTTACAGTATTCATAATATTTTCTTATTATACCTTCCCACAATATCTAGGAAAACTTGAGGAGTAAGACAATCATACCTTGCACATTACTGTGTCATTCTGAGAACGTATTTTCATAAGCAGACATTTAGCTAAATTTTAGCAGCAATATTGGTACCTTTGTGCTCTGTTATCCAGGCTTATTGTTAAGTGATGTTGAGAGGTTCTGACTCATAGCAGCCCTGTATAGGGTTTCTGATGAGTGGCTGGTGGGTTTGAACTGCTGACCTTGCAATTTAAACCACCTTACAGTCCAGTGCTTGTCCTACAGCGCCTCACCAGGACTCCATAGGCTTATTATAAGGCAAAATAATTGTTTTTGAATGTAGTGAGATCACCTCAAATATGCAGTCCTGGTGTGGCGCTGTGGGTAAATGCACTAGACTGCAAGGTCTGTTTGGACTGCTAGGCTGGTTTGAACCGCAAGGTCGCCAGTTCAAACTTACCAGCCATACTTTGGAAACCCTATACAGGGTCTTGATGAATCGGAACTGACTTGACAGTATTGAACAAGAATAACACCTCAAATATATATAAATGCTTGAGACATGATTTACAAATCCTGAAGTGACTGATAATATTGACATCATTATTGCTGAACTATGTCAGCAATCACATCTATGAAATAAATATCATTAGTTTTAGCCTGTGGTGGGTTGTTTTTTAAGTATGAATAAATAAGTGGGGGAGAGAAGTTCAAAGTAAACTTAAGATTCTAAATACTGAAATAATGTATTAAACACATGAACATGTGTATACACACAAAGTTTTTACATAACTGCTTTTCCTTTAATATGATATGGAATTCTTCTCACATTAAACAAGAGCATACAGGTAGGTGTGTAGCATTCTAATAGGTTCACAGCACACAAATGAATTTTTCTTAGTAATTACAATAAATCAGTATTTTAAAGAGAAACATCTTTTCCCCTTCGTGTTTCCAGGAAGTATACTAATAAAAAGTAATTGCATTAAGAAAATTGCTTCTTATTCCCCTAACAGGATACCAGATCCGAGCATTTAAGTGGCTCCTTAGCGCCCCTGTGGCCCCAGGGATGCAAGAGTAGGAGCCAGGGCTGAAAAAAGATGAACTCCTGGAATGGACTCAGATTTAACATCAGCCCCTTTACTTATTCATGTAAAAATATAACATTAGTGGTATGGCGCCTTAGGATAAGCACTGACCCACAAGGTCGGTTTGAACTGCAAAGTTGGCAGTTCAAATTCACCAGTCGCTCCTCAGAAACTCTTATGCTGGGTCACTATGAATAGGAACTGATTGGATGACACAACAACAACAACAACAAAATATCGACCACCAGAAAAGTCTGAAATCAACTCTGAGTGGCTTCAAGCGGTTCCAGGACGATCCACATTTTCCTCGGATTTTGTTGTTAAGTGCCCTGGATTCAATGCAACCCTGTAGCTTCCGAGGAATGCCTGGTGGATTTGAACCATCGACCTTGCTGTTGGCAGTCCAGTGTTGATCCTACAGCGCCACACCAGGAGTCCAGTCTTCTCTGAGTTAACAGGAAATCGATAAGCTAGGTTCATCTCAGTCGTCAGTGAGAACAGAAGCCGCGAACACGCACCTAACCGTGACTCGCATTCTCCTGTACTCTTGTAACAGTGTCCCATACTCGCTCTGCCGCGATGCAGAAAACCCAGGAAGCAGCGATGGTAAGGGCAGTGGCGGCGGCTTCACGTTCGATGTGCGCAGGCGCTAGCTCACAGCGCGCAGGCGCTGCCGAGAAGTGACTTCTCCAAAAAGTGTCTTAGTTCCCGGTCACCTGAGCTCCCGGCAACGCGGCTGCGGTAGTTTCGCGGATACCAGCTCTTCTGAGATCTTTTCTGGTCGCCTCAGTCTCTCTGCCTGCTCTTCGGCTCCGCCACCTCGAAACCTTCAAGGGCCTATCATTTACTTCCTGCCCTTTCCTAGCTGCGGACCGGACCGGGCCGAATCGGGCCACTCGGGCGCGGTCCCTGACCATGGCGTCCCTCTTCAAGAAGAAAACAGTGGATGGTGAGTCTCACGATGGGCCAGAGGAACCCAGCTTTGCGTTTCCCTGATGTCTTTGGGGTTTCTGGCATTACGATCTTGCTGCTATCCCTGGGGGCGGGGCTGGAACCTGTGGCCCCACAGGTGAACGCCCTCTCTGCGTCACTCTGCTTTCCCACCTCTTCTGGCCCTCCCAACTCAGCTTCACCTGGGCTGTCTGACACCTTTCCAACCTCATCCTACGTTTTCTTTACTGGACTCCTGAGCATTTCTGGGAAGTAGGGTGTTGCTGGACTTTGAATATTCATTAGGCATGATTATTTGATGAATTTCTTGTTGGTTTCTTCTGCTTGGTTTGTTGCTCCATCAGTTTGGAGCTCTACTGCTTCTAAGCCGGAAACGTGCATGTCAGGTAGTAATGGAGGGAAATAAAAGCTCCAGGTACAAAATGAACTTGAGTCTGGACTAATTTTTGCTCTGAGAACACCCCATCAATAAAAATGTGAAGCAAATGTTTTCTTGACTGGCCCCAGTAGTAAAAGAAAATAAACCTAAGGGTATAGTTTTATAATGGATTTTCTCTCTTATGAATATCTTTTGCTAATTAAAGTAAGAGATGTGGCATGTATTATTTGAATGAAAGTTTAAATTTTAAGGATATTTGCTTTATTTTTCACATTTAGTTCACTGTCTGAAAAGATAAATGAATGGGATTGCCCAAGTTTTATATACATTCTACAATGTACTGCCTAGCACTGATTGCTTAGTCATGATATTTTTATTGACTACTGTCAAGACAAAATTCATTCAAATCATTAAAAATTGTGTTTCCATTATTGGTTGAGTATATAAGTTGTTGCTGTTCAACCAAAGAATTGCTTCTTTGTAAGGGTCTAGCTCTGCCACAGAAGGAGCAATGATAGCTAGACAGTGATTGGTACAAACAGGGTGCACATTCCAGACCTGGGAATAACTCCTTCATTCCTTTGTACTGACTATTCCAATACCAGCAAAATTGTTTTGAGTGAGAAAACAAAGACATCATCCTTACTCTTTCATGAAACACACCATGTCATGTTATAACTCTTGTCACAGCATAATTCATTGTTGTTTATCCTTAATGGATGAAAGAAATGGTTTATTGACTTTTGATTAAATGAGAAATACCATTTATAGTAACTGGAATAACTACTAACTTTGTATATGATATAATACAATTATATGATAGGAGTTTTTTATGTGTTTGTGTTTCCTGACAGTGCTGTATATAGTCTTTAATATGCCACTTTATTTTTTCACTCTTTTAGGATGAATATTATGATCTTCAGTGATTATATATAATATTCCAGAAATAAGTATGTTTTCCTGATGTTTGCTTTATATAGAATTTACTAAATAGGAGGAAAAAATCTTGCAACCTTTTGCTGTGGTGTTGCGACTTGCATTTTTAAAACTTTTTTTCATATTAAAAAATCAAAATATCTTAAGTAGTTTTAATTGCTTGATTTAAGTGTCAAATATTTACAAAGACATTTTAGTTCTTTATTGTTTTCATAGCTTTACTCCATGGTTCCTTTGGTAATCTAGTGATTATTGTACTTCAAGTGTATAGGGGAGAAAAAGAAAAAAAAAGGCATTGAGGATTTAAAGTCAGGATATTTAACTGTATACTCATTTGTACTTTTTATTTATTCAGAGAAATTATGCATTTTTCCAAATAGACTTATTTGGAAAAAGTATTAAATGTTTTTAGTAAGTCTCTTCTACTAAATTAAAGCTCTCTGTTTGAAATTTCTGAGTGTAAATTTGATTACCACTAGAAATACCAGGCTACATATTTGCTTATTGATAGGATATCTTAGTTATGAATCTGTATTTTCATTATTTTGACATAGAGCTTTATAGATGTTTCTACTAGATTTTTTATTAAAAGGAAGGTTTGTTGTGTTGAAACAGTGACAGCATTCTGCTTTGCAATAATGAGGCTATATATTATGAAATTTAATGCATTTTATGCATTTTCTCCAGATCCTTGGACTTGCTGATTATTGATCATAAGATATTTTAGTGCATGCTATATTTTTATCTGTTTCAGTGGTAATGGAATTCTGATATATAAGGGGAATAGGCAACTGCTTATAGATCTGGGGAATAATTGAATCTTTTTGTCTCTGGATTGGCTAGAAGAGTTATATACTCTATCATTAAAAACTACTGCACATGTAAATTAAAAAGGGAGACAACATTACAGCACTTATTACTATTCCAAGTTATGTTTAATTCATTTTTGACACAAAGATGAGTAAGTCTCTGCAGTATATACTTTGTTACAGAAATTAATAAGAGGTGTACCCTAATGCCTTAGAAGAGAAGTATTCTTTTGAATTTGAAATTATATTAAGTACTTGCTTTTTCTTTACTGACTTTGACTTGATTTATATACACATACCTAGTGAAGTACCTGGGTGGTACAAACGTTAAGCACTTGGTTATTAGATCTAAGATTGATGCCTTGAACCTACCCAGAGGTACCTCAGAAAACAGGCTTGGAGATCTGATTCCAAATGGTCACAGCCTGTGGAGGATTTTATGGAGCAGATGTATTCTAAACACTTGAGTTTACCCTGAGGTAGAATCCACTCTAGAACAACTACCAACAACAATATATACACACAGTGTTGTATGTGTAAACCAAATGTGTTGCTGCCGAGTCGATTCTGACTCATGATGACCCCATGTGTTATAGAATAGAACGACTCCATAGGATTCTTGTTGTTATTATTTTTGGAAGCATATTTCCAAGTTTTTTGTACAGCGGGCTCAGTCCCTCAGCCTTGAGGTTAGCAGTCTGTCTCACCCATTTACACTACCCAGGGACCTTCAGCATATACCTAAGTCCAAAAGTATTCCTACAAAATAGTAGTCTTTCGCTTTCTTCATGTATGAATTTCTTGATGTCATCCCACAACTCCTCTGGTCTTTGGTAATTAATGTCTAATGTGTCAAATCGATTCTTTAGATGATCTCTAAATTTTGGTGGGATATACTCAAGATTGTTTTTTAGCTCTTGTGGATTTATTTTAGTTTTCTTCAGCTTCGGCCTGAACTTGCATATGAGTAACTTATGGTTTGTTTCACAATTGGCCCTTAGCTTTGTTTTGTTTGATGATATTGAGCTTTTCCATCAACAATTGAAGGTCCTGAAAGCTTTGCTCCACCCACATCATTAAGGTCAACTCTACTTTGAGGAGGCAACTCTTCCTCAGTCATAGTTTGAGTGCCGTTTAACAAAGGGGCTCATCTTCTGGCACTATATAAGACAGTGTTCCACTGCTATTCATTAGGTTATCAGGGGCTAATCTTTCTGGTGTGACTTGCCTCTCCTTCTTCCTAGTCTGTGTTAGTCTGGAAGCTCCACTGAAACCTGTTCAACATGGGTAACCCTGCTGGTATTTAAAATACTGGTGGCATAGATTCCAGCATCACAGCAATACAGAAGCTACCACAGTATGAAAAACTGACAGATGAGTGGGAATCCATAGGTCCGTACATCTGTGAAATTTCTTTTGCAGGCAAGCTTTCCTTTCATTCCTTTATCCACTTAAGATGACAAAATGCTAGGAACAATGAGCTAACTAACAGAAGCAGGGATTTGCTTGTTTAAGAACCTGAAGGACAGAGTACTTCTAACTTGTGTGAAGAACCACTTATCCAAAAAAACATATTCTTGCGTGTTTCAGAAGTCTGTGAACTAAAGTGCTCAGGAACTTCTGTTGGCTTCATTGAAAATTCCTTAGGCATGGTTGGTTGAATCAATGGATATGGATGATTGATTGCTTCATGCCACCCTCCCTTCATGAAGTTATTCAACAGGTGTGGTCTTTGGGGTCTCATTCATTTGCACACATTTAAGTGTTGCCAGGCTGTTTTAGAATGCAGATACTTTTCTCTAGAAATGTTAAGAGCTATCTTTCAGGAATTAAATACAGGTGAGTTCTAGTTCTCTGTATTACAATTAAATTTAGCATCACTGATGGGCAAAGAAAAAATATATTGATAAAAATGATTTTTTCTTACAATATATTTAAAAGTTGCAGATATGGTTTGTTAGATTAAAAATGTCATGCCCTTATCCAAAAAAGAAAAGAAAGAAACCTACTGTCATTGATTTGATTCCGACTATGGAACCAGAGAGCTTCATCTTTCTGCCTCAGAGCTGCTGGTGGTTTGGAATTGCTGACCTTTGGGTAGCAGTCCAATGCTTATCCTACTGGATCACCACTGTCTTTAATAACTTTAAAGTTAAAAATCTACTGCCATCAAGTTGACTCCTATACACAGCAACCCTATGTAGGGTTTCTGAGGCTGTATGCCCTTACTGGAGTCCTGGTGTGGTACTATGGGTTAATAAGAGGGACTGCAAAGTCACTTTGAACAGTAAGGTTGATGGTTCAAGCTCACCAGTCTCTCCTCAGAAACCCTATACAGGGTCACTGTGGGTCAGAATTGGCTCTATGGCACTTCACAATAGCAACATATCCTTATGGGAGCTGCCAAGTCACCTCTTTCTCTCAAGGAAAAGCTGGCTGATTTGAACTGCTGACTGTGGTTAGCAGCCCAGTGTGTTATCCAGTATGACCCTAGGGCTTTCCTTATAGTAAAACACAAACAGTAATATATCATGGAGTTGTTATTGTTTAGTACCTTCAAGTCAACTCTGACTCATAGCGGCCCTGTATAGGATCTCTAAGGAGCAGCTGGACAGTTTGAATTGCTGGCCTTGCAGTTCAGACTGACCTCTGGGTCCAGTGCATTATCCCACAGCACAGCACTAGAACTCCATATCATGGAGGAGATGCCATTTAACTGACCAGTTTGATCCCGCTATGGGGTCTTGAGACAGTATCCTGAATTGCCCTGTTTGCTTGACACAAAACCTGCCCATCCACTACCACAGAAATACCATAGGGTATCTAAGCAGTTTCACACACAAATTAATGAATATTCATATTTACAGATTGTAA